CAAAAACATCATATATGGTCATATAGAGATTGTATGTGCATCAAGATTGTGGCTTTACGTGCTAAATAAGCTTGGAAGGACTGGATTTATGGGTTAATGGACTGGATCTGACCTTATGAGCAAGTTTGAGTCATTGCATGGCACGGACTCGCCGTGTCCAAAGAACAGCATACGTAGATTTTTTAAGCACTTCCATTCTCGCACGAACAACATACGTAGATGTAACCACTCCATTACAATAGCCAACAGAGGAGTTGAGGAAGAATCAAAAAAGGGTTCATGAGGAGGATTCCGAGAAAGGACCGAATGAAGAGAAAGGCACTAGAGAGATCGTTAACGAACCTTACCCTATCAGGAGAAAACCCGAAAGTACTATATACATCACACAAGTAATTTATAAAATGATATAACTTAGTGAGTTAATGATTACACTACTCACACTATGTGTTAGGTTTATCACTTCTTTCGTAACAACAAATACTAGTACAAAAATTCATAGAATTTCGTTTAAGGGCGATAACTATTAAAAATTCATAACCTTATTCTATATAGACTTATGTTATGAATTGTTTACAAAACTATATAAAAGTCAGAACATGATACACACAATACCAAGATAACATAGTTCAAGCAACACATGAGTTATAGGCACTACTAAAGACTTACTACCGTTTCATTATTTTAAACCTTATGGTAGAAAGATCCCTTCCCGTAGACTTATAGGGTGCGATCATATCCACACTAATACATCGGATCCCATCAGAACTCAACAGTTAAGAATGCTTGGACGAGAGTAGTACTAGGATGACCGAACTTAACCTTGGTATAATATCTATTTCTACTCACTATCATGAATACATCATAGGAATGTAGGTTGAAACATTGAGAATTTCACAACAAAATGAGAAAAATTTATATGTATATATAAATAAGTAAAATACAACTAGCAACAACCATAATTACTTGAACTCGTTCCACATCATGTAACATGATCATGTCTTCATATGGAAATAACCAGTTAACCGACGAAACCTCGATTCTACATATAGACTCCGCTACATTCCAAGTCATCATAACAGCTGCTGTGATAGTTGCCATGGCGTAATTCAACGCTAACAACACAAACAAAGATGGAAACAATATCGACAATTCAAACCATAATAACAACTGAGGAAAACAACGAGTGTCGCTCATCAAGGGCACCATAGACCACAAAATTAAAAGAAAGATACGAAATTTCTGGAAGAAAAAGGAGCGCAAATTATCTCAACGAGTTACCAAGAGACAGCAACCCGTGGCAGCCCCTGCAGCCACAACATCTGCCACTCTGGTACCAGCCAATCGATATGTTGGAACACTACTGAAGTGTAACAAGTGTGACTAGCATCACAAGGGAGTATGTATGGAGTTGCATTGCAAGAACTGCAACAAGAATAGGCACTCTATTCGTTTTTGTAGGACTCTGAACCAACACATGACCTCAGCCACCAATACTGGTACAACTCAAGTATGCCATGCAAGTGGTGAAAAAAGACATTTAAGTAGAGATTGTCCAACAGAGAGGAATAACGGAGAAACAGGAGGAGTTTAACAAATAGGACATAGTGAAGCAACGAGGAACTCTTCTGGGATTTTGGTACCTTTTCTAAATAACAATAATTAAGCATCGAATTTTCACAAAAGTTTTTGAGAATTAATAGTTAAAATCATAAACTACCTTCTCATACAAATGAAACAAATCATTCATATAAAAACTAAAGATCCTTACAGGTGAGATATGATGGATTAGTGTAACATTAGGGTCATACATAGTAAAGATTTTGCAGGCTTAGAGTGAGTGATTCCGCCTTATTTCCTATTTCTTGTTTGATTGTGGATTTAGGGCAGATTTGCTTAGTTGACAGTCTTCTCAATCTTAACTTTATATGATTTGTATACACTAACTGATTATAAAGGGACTTTGTAGGGATCATATCATGAGATTTCATTACTGACCATAGGAACACTCTTATTGTCTTTATTCACTAAGTACAATACTAATGTTCACAACAGTAATAACAAGAATAAAACAGAGAACACTAAAATACATAAACATAGAATGTACTATCGTTCTAAACAACCACTTCTTCCTAGTCGAATTAACATCCGTTACGATTAGGAGTTCCAACATCGTCATTAGAAATGAATTAGCTTGGTCCTCAGTGTATCAAATCTGACTTCGTATGGGGAAGTTATGATTTTTCTAAGATTCGGCACTTCAGTGTACAATTCGAAATTCAAATTATAGATCGTGCAATTTTTAGCCGACACAACCTAAACGCGAATCGAAAATCTCGTCAATAGTAGCTCAACAGTAGAAACACAGACGATAAAGGATGTTGGATGAAGAAGTCATGAATTTTCAACGGAATTTTCCTGTCTCGTTCTGTTAAAAATATTACATTAAAAATAAATTCAAAATTATCCGACGGAGTATAAACAAAATTCATAGAGTACCGTC